TAAATTAGTGACAACTTAATAACAATTAATATTTAATTTAAAAAGTACATAACATAAGCAATTATGTTCATTTATATAAATAATTTAACAAGTTAATATAAATTCTATAAATTCGATAACATGGCTGCGGCGCATGGCAAGATCATCTGGTATTAATATTTAATAGATGTGGACAATATATTACGTTGTCCGGTATGTTTAGCACGGAGGCTAGCATGGTCTACATGGCTACAAAAATATTTCGTGCACACCATCCTGGTCATTTGTGGTCGAGCGTGGCTGTGCTCCCTCGTGTTGCCGACGACGAACTCAAACACCCAATCAAATCTTGTTTTCCTTTCTTGACCGTTCAATGATAACTTTTTTTAATCTAAAACATTACCTATATATAAACACATCAATTTAACAACGAATACACTCAAATAATTCTCTTTCACACATTTTCTTTCTACATTTATTCACTTTTAAAAACCATGACTCCCAAAACATAGAGTTGGTCGGTAGAAAAAGAAAAGAAGTTAACAATGGTATGAGTGACAGTTTCGAAAGACCCATATAGTCGAACTTCCAGGGATTTTTGGGCAAAAGTTGGAAATGTTTTCCATGATTTAATAGGTTGTCGTAGTCGTAATCTTGATAGAATATGTTCTAAGTTTCGTTTTATTAGGACAACATGTCGCGATTTCAACAGACTTTATAACCATGTTATAAACAACACGCACGAAGATGATCCGGTCGCTGTGATCATGCATCAATATGAACAAATAAACCACAAATCGTTTAAATACATCAAAGCTTAACTAAAACTTAAGGAGATGTCACGGTGGGATAATTAAAAAAACGGGGTTTAGAAACTAGTTTAAGTTGTTTTTGTGCTTGCATTTTAATGTGTTTTTTTTTTCGATTTTGTTTTAGTTTGTTATTTAAAAAAAAAATGTAATGTTTTTTAGTTGATTAAAAAACTAGTTCAAAAAAATATGTTTTTATTGTATTTGGATTTTATATGTATTTTGAATTAAATTTAATTAAAAAATAAGGTGTAATGGTGTGGTAGTGGTAGTTAGTGGTGACAATGTGACATACACCACTATAATGATTAGTGGTAGATATAACGAATTGTCTTAAAAGGTGTTACCACATCCAAAACTTATCACCTTACATGTCATGTCACCCGACAATATTATAACACCAAGTAAAGAAATGAAAAACCTGTTATAACACCCATTAAATTTCTCTGTCATCATTTTTTTCGATTTAATTTTTAATATTTATAAACACAAAATTAATTTAATAAAACATGTTATTTAAATAAAACCTACCTTTATAATAAATTTTTTAATAATTGCACGGTTTATAATTAAGAATATCAATTTATAACTATTTAACCGATAATTAGAAATAAAATTAACATAGTACCCTCGTTGACAAGTTCTTATTTATTTTAGGTAAAAAAAAAAATTTAATTAATTTAATATGATCATTTGAATGGTCAAAGTGTGAAAATGTTCAAATTTCAAAGCCAAAATCATTGTTCAAGCTCATTATCACCATCACGAAACACCACAAAACAACTAGGGGCCTAGGGGGAGGTGCTCCCTTGTAACCACGACATTAAGCCACGTCCACGTCAGCCTTAACACCCAATAACGGGCCCATACCCTCGAGTCTTATAGTTTTTTCTAGATAAAATTTCACAAACGATCTTTTTTTCTTTTCATTTTTTCCTAAAATATTTCTTGTGAAATCTTTTTTGCATGAAAGGTCCTTTTGGAGCAAACCTTGCACACAAATGGTTCTTATGACTAATATCGTTAGTTCTATTCAATATAATATGGAATGTGAAAGCAAAGGGGGTGCGCGAACAAGGTTTGAGAACTCCAACCTTGAATTAACTTAAGATCAATGTTTACTAATAATAAATAACCAATCAAGTCTGGTGAATCAGTCTTGTTTAAAAATTAAGATAAGCAACAAAGTGCTCAAAGTATAAATGATTAACAAGTATGAACAATGTAAAGTGATTCAAGAATAAGATGAATGTAAGAGAGAATGATTGATTGAATAATTCTTGATATATGTGAAAAGGTACACGTTCCACACTTGATACAAATGTGACTACTCCTTAAATAGTCAAAGAGTAACTACAAGACAAATATGATAAAGTGAGCATGAACTGCTAGACTTCTGAAGATCAACAAACTGACACAGCCATTGTTGTTGATCTTTTCTCTTGTACTATACTATAAAACAATAGGAAGAATACAAAATAGTACTTTTAATAATAAATGCACATTACAGACTCAAAACACTTTAACACAAAGATGCATCCCGGACCGATCTTTGACTTTAGAATTGTCTTCACTTCAAAATGAATCATCTCAGATTACTTCACCTCGGATTGCTTAAGGATCACTTTTCATGTTCTAACAATCTGATGGGTTTTATACAAACAATCCTATGTGTGCATGTAACCCTAGATTTGGATCTATATTTTCTTTATTAGATACACAACTTTATGAACACAAGAAGAACCCTAACATGCACCTAGGTATTTCGAAATCTATGTAGTAGAAGGGATTACATACCTCTTGTTGTTATATTGTAATAACAATGCTAATCTCCAATCTCTTTGTCTTGGAAAGCAAGTACCACAAGTCTAGTACCCCTAATGGCTCACAAACACCACAAGCAAATGGAGAGGCAAAAGAGAGAGAGAGGGGGAGAGGCAAAAATCGGCTCTAGGTCTTCTAGGGATCTAGTGGCTGATTTTCTAAGGCCTAAGGGGTCTTTATATAGGGTAGAGATTAGAGTTTCAGTCTTTATCCTTATCTGTAAGCCTTAAATCCTTATCATGGATGAATTTTAAGGCCTTATCACCTTGAATTCGTCCACCCCTTCCTTGGGGCATCTAATGCCACAATTTGCAACTATCACATAATTACAAGTCAGCCCCTCTAGTTTAATTAATTACATTTTATCACAAAATTAATTCTTAATTAATTATTGACCAATATTAATTAAACAAATATGATTTCTCCTTTAATATATTATTCTTATAATATATTAATAAATCGTAATAACCTCTTTCTCTATTATTTCTCCAGTCAAGTTGCTTTGGTGAAGGCAACCCAAAAGGACCATGCACAACCGGGTCAAGCACTTACCACATATGGTTACGGGCTTAGACACTAATCCAACATTATCTCCCCTAAGTTACCTTAGCAATCATTCGACATATCACTTGGATTCATCAAAAAAAAAACAAATAAGCACTCTGGAGCCAGCTTCGGACATGGATGTACCATTGGAGATGCTTAATAAATTTCTTTTTGATGTGTTCATAGGAATTACTCTTGATAACATTTGACATGAACTTCTGAAGAATATTGGTGGGAGCGAGGTGCTTGTCAAGGACTCTAAAAAATTCTTTTTGATTAGTATTTTTCTTGAGTTAGACATAACCAATTTTGGTTCTTCAGTTAGACATTATGATAATATATGGGCTTCGGGAAGCTTAGTTGTGATTTAGCCAAAAAGTTTTCTATTCTGAAAAGGTGAGAAAACTCCACGTCGGATCTACAAAATTTAGCATTGTAGTCCTTGAGAAAGCTGATTGCGAAGTTGTAAGCTCCAATGCTAGATTCATTAGTTTGGCGATATTGTAGATGAGCAACTATAATGAGAATGTCATTTGGATTCATCGAGGGAAAGTCTGCATCATTGATAGTGATAGTGGATTCCTTGTTCCGAGATATGAAGTATTTGTATAGAAGATAGTCAAGATCAAACTTGCTTTGAACCTTATTACCATATCCAACAATCTTGGTAATTCTTTTCCAATACCAAACTTCTTTTTGGGGTCGTTCGTTGGTAGAATAAAAGGTTCTCAATCTCTCACACTCAGTTTAGATGATGATTTATGGATCATCTGATGGATGCAAGGGTGCGAAATTGATGAAGTAGCCCTCAGACTTTTTAAACGACTTCATTGAGTTGTCTAAACCAGTAGCCATTTTCTTTCCTTTGTTTATGGATTGATCAGCTTGAGAGAAGATGGAGGAGATGATTTGTTGGCCAGATTGAGTAATGAATAGCTCGGATTAAGGAGAAATCAAGGGATCTTCAGGGATCTCGTCCGATTTCCTGATTGGAGAACCTTCATCGATTTGGACAATCCTCAGAGCAGAAATTGGAGGAGACATTGATTGAGTGGATCAGAAGGCATCGATTGAATGCTTTTGAATGTTTTTGACCTTAACCATGTATTATATCCTTTTGAATGCTTCGGATAAAGAAGATGGCCAAGTCATTGAAGACCATTTCATCTTCTCTGCTTCTGAAAAGACTTTGGTAGGATGTTCCCTGATATCTTGAAGTCCAACCATTACATCGTTAACAAAATCATCTTCATCATCATTATCTTCATAAGTATCTATTTCCACAATCTCTTTATCTGAATCTTCAAATCGGAGAGCAAATTCCGAGATTGATCTCCATTGTACGGTTTTTGTTCTCCCCCTCTTGCATGGGATGACACTGCCTCCGATACAAGCAACAGATCTAACTTTAGCTTAATTAAACGTTTGAACACTAGCTGAAAGCTCATATTGATTTGCTTGGAAAGGGAATCATAAGATTCGACAGTCGGAGCTTGAGCTTTGAGGTGGGCAGAAGTTTCGTCGAGAATGAGGAGCATTTCATGAAACTTGTAGTTTGGAACATCCTGATGATGTTTAGCTGCACGAGATGACTTTGATAACAACTTCTTGCATGACCATGTTCATGGAATCTTTGTGATGAATCTCTTTCTCCAATCTTTGAACCTGTTTCTAATGACGAATATGAGTTTACGTGATCTGGGTATTTGTAGCATAGAGCATGTTATCATGAACTTCGAGCATAGTGTTAATGGTAGTGATATGATGAGTGAGAATATCCTTGTAACTTACTTCGGCATCTTCTAGAGTACAACTCAAGTGAAGAAAGATAAGTTGGTCCAGTTAATTAGCATGATCAAGTTTAGATGGAGTAGCAGCCTTGATCTCAGAAAGAGATTTGAGAACAGGTTCAAGTTTTGAATCAAGACATGCGACTTGTTGAGTGACCTTTTCAACCTTGGAGTTAGCAGTGGCTATGTTTCTCGGAGTTTCAGTAAGGCAAATTGATTCGCAATGTTCTTGTCGGAGGATCCTGTATCGGAGGTGGAAATTTTAGACCTCTAATCATCATCATCTTTGATTTTCTTGTCATCATGTGGAGCTTCTAGAGTGGGAGTTTCTTGATAACCTTCTAAGGTGTTTTTTTAGAGGAGGAGTAGTAACTTTGTTTTTGTAAAGATCTACATTTTCATCAAAGGCTTTCGAGGACGAAGAGAGTCCAAAATGAAAACGAGCTCTGGAGGAGGAAGGCTTGTGGAAAATGTTGAATGGGGTGGGAAATGGAATGACTCCGACAATTGTATTGCCATCATTGACAACGTGAGAGGAGACATCTAAAACACTCATAAAATTTGGAGCATGATCATCCGAGATATTGGTTGACTCGAGAACATGTCCTTTAGCAACAACATTATCGTGAGGAGGATCATTCACAGTGTTGTTAGGAGCATGAACTTCTTTAATCTGTATGGAATTTAATGCATTGATGGATGGTTGAAGCTCTTGATGGATTTCTTCATTGGAAGGATACACAAAAGGAATGTGAATGTTGATTTATCATTGGCGTATTGAAATGAGCGTATATTCCACTTAATCTAGAGATAGCTCTAGATGCAGTGATTAAGCCCTGTCAACAAAATCTACCCAATCTTTTTCAAACATACTCGAGCATCCTCTACCTGAAACGGGTATTAGACTAGTTGCAGCTTTCAAGATAGGAGGGACTGCTCCTGTCTCAAAAAACATGGAATCAGTGATAGGGGCTAGTGATTGTGGTTAAGTCAAAGAAAAAGGAAAACTCAAGTTGACTCGTGAGTTTGTCCTAGGAGGCTCCAAGGGACTATGTTCAATACCCGAACCACCTTTTGGGAAGGTAGGGGTAAATTATGTGTAGACTCCCCATGTGTGTGTATGTGCAAGATGTGATTTTAAGACTCTGAAGGGTACTTTAGAAGAGTGGCTGGGTGGGGTTAGTAGAGATCCACAGTCAGGTCGAATGCCGATTTGTGAATCCTTTTGAGAGGGTTTACCAGCTTTGGTTCTCTTTTCGCTTCAACTTTCGAAGGGGATGGCTTTAGCTTAGCAATTTGTTTTACACAACCTTCAGAGGTGGATGATATATTCTCTTCCGAGACTGTTTCATCTAAGATTGGGGCAGGTTGTGTGGGGTTGAACACAACCTAGGTCTCAAGATGATGTTTGAGATGTAGTGAATCGGAAGGAATAATGCTTAGCATGTGCTAAGGTAAATGTTTGATAGGTCTAAAAGAAGTTTGACTTGGAATCCTATACGTTTTGATAGTTTTGAAAGAGCACTATACCTCTCAAATGTCAGACTTGAGTGGAATGGAGTCGTGTTGCTCAGAGTACAATTATTGTAGAGTTAGAGCCCATAATCTTGTTGGATTAATGTCTAAGTCCATAACTAAAATTGGTGAGACTTGACCTGACCCGGCATGGTCCATTTGGGTTACATGGCATCATGCATTTGGATAGACTATAATGACAGAAATAACACTTAAGGTTTGTTAATATATTATAAGTTCTAATATATTAATAAGATTATTTAATTAGTATTAATCTAGGATTAATTAAGTGATCAAAAGAAGACTAATTAAATATATGGGTTGATTGTGTAAATTATCCATACTTATATAGTGGGCTAATGCTCCTTGGATTGTCAAGTTGGGCTAAAACCCATAAGATGCTCCATGGATGCTCCATGGTGTATTTGTACCCATGGATCATGGAAATGAAAGGACATGACAATTAGGGTTTACATGGTGTAACCCTAACTATATAATGATCTTATTCTTAGAGAAAATCGGCCACTATGGGTAATAGAAAGGGCTAGCCGATTTTCATGAAGTGTGAATTTCTCTCAAGTCATTCCATGTGTATTTGGTGTTGTGTGAACCACTTGATGTGTCACACTTGGGGCACTAGGCACTCAAGCTTCATGAAGACATTGTACATCAAAGAGGTATGTAATTCTAACTTGATATATTCATATGAATCAATGCTATTATGCTAGTTAGGATGAATACCTTGGAAAGTTCATATTTGCATGTATAATAGATAAAACATAGATCCAAGGTATTTAGGGTTGCATGTATACTTAGGAGTGTTAGAATGCTCAAAACCCAACAGTGGTATCAGAGACTAGGCTTGCTTTCTCTTATACTTGATGCAAATGTGTTTTTTCAAAGTTGAATCTGTCCAGATAATAAAACTCGACGATTTTATGCAAAAAAATCGACGAGTTCATCATTTTGGGCATGAACTCGACGAGTTTCTTAAGGAACTCGACGAGTTTTGGGTGCTAACAGCTTGCTGTTTGTTGTTTTGGCTGGAATTTGACTAGGAACATTACCCTAAGCTGTTTTTGACCTTATAAACTTGTTTTTGATGTGGTAATGTTCATGCTAATCCAATTTCAAAGATAATTGTCAATAGATTCATGTTTTGTATTAGTTTAAAAGTTATGCTAATTACATGAAAAAGTTTGATGTGAACAAAGATAATTCACATCATATAAATTATAAAAGTATTGTGTTGGGTCCTAGCCTTAATTCACATCAACACAATTTGAAATTGGGTGTTGATTTAATCAACTATCTTTAAATTAACAGTATTGTGTTGGGTCCTAGCCTTAATATTTCATATTGGGTGTTATATTAAGGACTTTAAATCAACTATCTTGAATATTTCCCAAAAATATGTTTGGTTTAGACATTTATGATCTTCCCAAATCTCTTGAAACAAGCTTTCCTAAATGAAGATAATGTCCCATGGAAATCATACTTCTTTCACATCCTACAATTATTCTTCCTAACCCACAAGTTCTTGAAAATATTAAGTTTACTCAAGCCCTATTGGCAAGTAAAGGTCTATGTGTGGTCACATCTTGGAGATGTAGTCACATATTGACAAGTCGGGAGAGTTAGGTGTCAAAGTCTTGAGAAAGTTGGTGGTGAAATCAATTTCTAAATAAAATAGTGAATTCCTTTGGGGCTCCTATGAAACAGACTATGACAAGACCCTTAATGATCTTATCTATTTGCTAAGATCAACTTCCAAAAACTTATGGACATTGGCAATAGTGACACAAGAAATCCATAAAAGCATTCTCTTCCCAATGGAAAGGGATTGGTCATAGTCAACTTGGTTGACAAAATGGTAAAGAGAAAGGCTAAGTATGATATAGTCCCATTTACTATTACCTAAGGGTCCATATGTTTCTATTCCCAAAGGAAGGGGCTTTGGTTACGAAGCTGCCAAACTTACCTAAGGATGGTAAAGTCAATAAGTTTGACTTTATTTCAAGTAAAGTCCATTGTCTAACTCTATTAAGTTCCTACTTGGAGATTCTTATTACATGATGTGACTAGGTCACATGTTGATGTTTTAAGAATCAAAGAAAAGTGAAGGAACTTAAAGAAAGAATATGTTGAATCTGATCGTGTAGATGGATTTCTATCGCATAATTTGAATATCGGATTCTTGAGCTACTTCTAAGGAGTTATGAGATATTGCTTAGGAATAGATAACAACAAGTTTTCATAAGGATTGTAAGGATAAGTTTTTTCGCAAAGTTTTTAAAATAAAAGGAAAAATTTTGATTTTATTTATTTTAAAATGTCCTTACAATGGTATTTGTGAATTTTTTTTGTTGGTTATAAAGATTACATTAAGAGCAAGAGTGGAAATATGAATTGGATTCTTTCATTTGTGGTAGTGTCTAAATTTACCAAATAAGGAAAGATTCTCATCACCCAAGGTTTCAATTGGACCGAAACTTGGAATCATGCAAGTTGTATAGCATGATGAATGAGAACTTTCAAGCATTGGAAAAATTAAGACTAAATACTTGTTCACATGGATGTGTAAGTCAAGTGAAGGACTAAGGGATCAAGTACACATTCTTGTGCACTGGTTAAGTCCACCACAAAAGATCGATAAGACTATTCATCATTATTTACTAAGGTTTAGTAAATATGGTTATACTTACAAGCTTAAGTATAAGTTCTGAAACATTGGAAAAGATCCAATGTATGGCAGAGTGAATAAGAAGAATCAAATTATGGCAGAAAGATAAAAGTTTCTCAAATCTGAAAAGATGGGAGAGTACTTTAGTATCATGTTATATGATCATCTTAATGATTAAGAGGATTTATCACAATTTATCCTCTAAGTGCATTCTGATAGCTAAGAAGAGGGGCTATGAATTGTTGAAGTGGTGAAATCAAGAAGATAATTTATACTTCGTTCCAAAAACAATTCTTAGAGTTATACTCTATGAATGTAACTTAAGTGACATGTCTTAAAGAAGGTTTAAAATCACTTGTCAAATGTAAGAGTAAAAGTATTATACTCTTGTACATTTGAAATTGGTAAGTTGTGATGTTTTGGATAAAACAAAGACCATTTAAGGCCAATTGTGTGAAGTGTTTGTCTTGATTAGAATCCACACTATATTTTGAATATTTGACAAGAGAGTCTTATATGTTAAGAGGACAGTGGGAGTCTTAAAGGTATTGAAAGTCTCACGAACTACTCAAGAATTAAACCTGAAGTTCTTCACTAGCACATGACTTGAGGTTTATAACCTATCGTGTTGACATATTTTGTGCCCATTCTAGTGAAATTTGGCTTTGCATATGTGTTCTTAGAGTTCTCAATTGGTTGCACAACAACATGGAAGCAATGACAGGCCCTTGAGCTGCCAGGTGACAAGAAATTAAGATTGAGTTCAGTCCATATGAGTTTGAATTTGTGACTATGGTTTTGATCATTCACATGGATAACAACACATACACTATTAAATCTAAGTGTCATAAGGTTTATCTCCGATTTATGAAAATGATGGTGAGGAAATACTTTCACAAAGTAGATTTTAGCTAGATAGCAATTGTGATATTTGAATTCTCAAAGTCGTTAGTGGAGCGTGTGTGGTTAACCGGCACACTAACATGGACTTGTGAGAAGTGGCAAAGGTCTAAACAATCGAGACTAAGATTACAACATCCCTTTTCATAGTTCATAGAATTGTTTAGACACACCTGTGAGCCATCTAAGATAAGGTGTATGATATTGATAAAGTTTTATCAAAGCAATCTAGTATCAGAAATTTGAACTTTGGTAAGAAAGTCACTAAAGTATTGATTTCTAGAAGTACAACTAATTTCTGAGTACATGTCAAAGCTAGTGGGAGCATAAGTATTATGCTCATAATCATCATGTTAGTGGGAGCATGATAATTATGATAAAGGTTGCAAGTTAGCTATGTTAATTATAGAAAACAAAAGTTAGCAATGTTAATCATCTCCGTTGGCGCATATTCAGATTGGGCTGATCCATCAAATACTTCAGGCTCTTGCGGTCCGTGTATATTGTACACCGAACCCCATACAAATAGTGATGCCAGATCTTAAGGGCGAACACTACTGCCCCCAACTCTAGATCGTGGGTGGGATACCTCATCTCATGAGGCTTTAGCTGCCTCGATGCATATGCTATCACATGCCCCCTTTGCATAAGCACCACACCTAGTCTTGATATCGACGCGTCACAATATACCACAAAGTCTTCCATTCCCTATGGAAGGGCCAACACTGGGGCTTCGCACAACTTCTCGCGAAGTGTCTCAAACGAGGTCTGCTGCTCTGGACCCCAATTGAAGGCGATGCCCTTCCAGGTCATCTTGGTGAGAGGAATCGCAATCTTGGAGAAATCTTTGATGAATC